TTTTTACACCGGGAATTGAACTCAGGGATGCTTTCCCACTAAGCTACATCTTCAGCCCATTTTTAAAAATTCCTTTTAAATGTTGAAACAGGGTCTCACTAAGTTGCCTATAGCCTCCCTAAACTGCTAAGGTTGTGCCCAAACTTGCAACCCTCCTGCCTCAGCTTCCAAGGTTGCTGTAAACAAATTTTTGTGTGAACATAAAATCTTTATTTCTTTGGATTAATATTCAGAAGTGTAACTGCTGGGTTAGTGGGTAATTGTACATTTAATTCTTTTAAGAAACCACTAAATAGTTTCATACAGGTGGCCGCACCACTTTATAGCCAATCAGCAATATATGAGAGTTTCTTTGAATCCTCATTAGTATTTGGTGTTATCATATTTGTACTTTAATATTCTTAACAGAACTGTAGAGGCATCTCACCAAGGTCTTGATTTGCTTTTTCCTAAAGGCTAGTGATGATAAGCACCTTTTTACTTGCTAATCTGCCATGATGTATATCCTCTATCTTCATGTTCTTTTCCTATTTTCTAATCAGACTCTTTGTTTCTGTGAATGTCTTTATTTACTATTGAGTTTTGAGAGTTCTTTATATATTCTGAATATGAAAAACCTCAGGTATTTCTTTCTTCTTCTTTTTAAAAATAGTGGTAATTATTTTATTTACCCTAAGTTATACTTTCTGCAAAGGATGTTAAGTATCCTTTCCTGAGTCATTCATCCCCCAAAAGAAACCTTTGCTGGCCATCTAGTATCATTGCAGTGTAATATCAGTCTCTGAATTTAAAAAACTTTACTTCCATGTATCTCTTAAAGACTTATTCCACCACTTCCCGTTTTTATGACATGTATTTCCATCAATAAAAATTCAATAGAGTTTGAATGTCTGATCTTTTTTGTTATGCTTAAAAATATTTTTGACTGGATTCAGAAGTAGAAGCTCTTAGAGAGGACAGCCTGAGTCTCTTGGTGATCTGTTCCTGGCATTTTTCTTTGGCTTCTTGCATTCTCTTGGCCAAAAGTTTGTAATATTCTGCAGCCTCTTCCTTATTTTTCTTAGAAACTGTTTCCTTCAGAGTAATATGCCGGAACATATGTTGTGAGTCATGTAGAGTAATGAGATGCTGAATCTTTGGTGCTTTGGTCCTGGGTTTTTTAACTTCCCTGCTTTCTGACAACATATTGGCAAGTATCATCTTCCTTAGATTGAAGTTTGCAGATTCTACTAGCTCTTTTGGGTCCTAGTTGATGAAGCACAGTAGTATTCATTAAGTCCAGGAATATCCTTCTCTCCTTGTTTTACAATAACCAAGTTGAGAACACTCAGAATGGTATCCACAATGTAACCTCTAACAGATTTGTGCTTTCTCTCTCCAGTTTGCCTTGGTCTATAACAGGAATGCCCTTTATTCAGTAGTAGGGGAACATGGCCCTGGGTCAAGATACCCTGCTTCGTGGGAAGCCTTGTTTGTCATTTCCACTAATGATTCAGACCACATAACCCTTCCATTCTTCACCCAGTGTCAGCAGCAATTTCTATAGCCATACGTTTCTTATAAAAAGTACAAAATTTGCATTCATTGTCCACTTCAATGAGTTTCTGGCAGCCAATGGCTCGGAAGAAGATATTCAACTTCATCTTGATGCCTCTTTCTTACTTTATTTTTAAGGATTCCTTGGGACTTTCTAAATACATCATAAATCTATCTATCATAATCTGTAAAAAGATGTATCTTTTCTTTTTCCCTTTTTCTTGTCTTATTTTGCTAGCTGGTCAATTTACTTTTAAAGTACTGCCAGAACTTAACATGACTTACACTGTCAAGTCTAATACAGGTAATAAACTCTAAGAGGACATCAGGCCAGCTAACATAATAGAGAGCATATAGAGGACACAACAGCAGTGAGAGCGAAAATAGGATTTTGAAAAATCAGGATGAAGAAAACAAGGGTGACATTTAAAGGTCAGATTGAAATTGTAATCTCCCCTCAAATTCCTCCAAAGTTATTTCTTTCATTTTTTATTTCTATCTCTTTCTCTCTCATAGACACACACCCTTAATGATGAAACTATCTCAAAAAGAGGCTAAGTCAATACAGAAAGAAACTACAAACTATTTGGACTTCTAAAGAAAAACAAAAAACTAATTTACCACTCATAATTCCATAAAAAATAGGATCTCTTATTACTGCCATAATTTGTCAGCCAACAGGTACGTACTCTCATTAAATCTTGGGCTGTTGGAGAGATTACTTACAGATGAACTTTCCTAATGGGAAAGGTGAATAAACTCGAAAATTACTTTTCCAAGGTGAAAGTATTTAATAGCCAGTGACCAGAGTCTGGATAAAAGAGAACAAACTGAGTATAAGTACTCAGGGAAGCAAAGTACTGCTTTCATAAGGTATGTACTCCTGCGGCCAGCAGCATCTGCAGGATGAGGGAAGGGATAAGAGATCTTCCTTAAGACAGTGAAAGTTTCCCAAAGCCTCTGATATATAGGTCACTTCTACAGACATTATTATAGTGTAAGAGGCCCTTCTAAGAACACATTTTCATTATGAAAAAACACTTGAAGAGACTCCTTAGAAGAGATAAAGTATGAGGGGGAGATACCGACCACACAATTTGAATTTAATAGAGTCATCATAGTTTCAATGAGATGTAGGACTATAATAGATATGAGGTCACTCAGAAGGAAATCCTGTAGACTCACATCCTCAAAGTTTACGGGGTACATTCCCACCCTTTAGGGGACACATTCCCACCCTCACCAACTGAACATTCACTCTGAGAACTGTAAGAGGACAGAATGGGGTGTAGAGAACACCTTTCACCTGTAATGTTAAAGTCCCGAGATTCTCTCTTGGTCTTATTTTCCTCTCTTGTAGGATTCTCTAATTTGTAATGCTGTTACACCCCTCACTGCCCAGTGTCTCTGATTGAGGAGGAAAGATGGTTTCAAAATCTCCAGTTTTGGTGAAGAATGGTAAAGTTTGCATCAGCTGAAGGAGAGGGGTGGCAATGACATATCTGGATTTTCTCTGACAGTGTAGTACTATGGAGTTCTAGAAATAATGAAGCATCTGTAATAAGTACCTCTGCAGGCTTATCTATGAGCTTGGCTGACCAAAGGCTTTTAATGCTGCGGAGGGTTTTGAATATTTACTGAAAAAAAAATGGAATCTGAAAATTTCCAATGCATTTGTAATAAAAATAGAAACTATCTTTAAAAATATGTTCTGATTTGTTTTAGTAACTGCCAATCTCAAGAGGAAAAAAAAATACTCCCAAGATTATAAAGGGTTAGGAATAAGCAAATAGGATGCATTTATATGTAGTAAAGTTAAATTCTTTCTTAGAATGAAAAAGTCCATTTTGTTGTTTGTAAGACATTCTGGAAACTCTGAAAATCTAAGCAGAAAATACACAAAGGAGCCACAAAGGGAGGGAATCAACTTCCGGTCATCTCTGAAAAAAGCTTCACAAACTTAGTTCAGGAGTCTGAAATGATGTCAACACACAGATGTTTCTTTTGGAATTAACGAGAGCCAAGGTTTTCCCTTGTGACAAGAAAGGTGCATGGAACTAAGGGAAGCCACACGTGAGCAGAGAATCTCAACTGAGTACACCCACTGCCTGAATTCCCAGCCTAGAAAGGCAGCCCTCCAGCTGCTATATTGGGACAGGCAGAGGAGGTTGGGGCTAATCTTGGGAAGAAGAGTAGAGTCCTGCTGGGGACTGAAGAGGAGCACACAAAAATGAGTGTGATCAGCGACAATAACAAAAGGAATTTTAGAAACATATTCAAATAAATGAGAGTAAATGGGGTTCCTGCTTCACCACTACTTGAAACAATGCAAAACTTACATATTTTAATGCAAATTTTATAGATTTTTTTTTTTAAGAGCAGCAAAGTATTAACTACCAATGACTTTACAGTACCTAGTATTACTTATCTTGACTGGTAGATGACAAATGTCATTTGGAAAACCAACCACTCAAAGTAAGGGCAGCCGTGATTTCCATAAATTCCAGCCCCCTGGAAAAAAGTAAATATGGAATGTGACCATCTCAGCATACTGGACCATTATCTGATATCATCTGCTGGCTTGCCTATTGTCTTATTTTATGGATCATTTTTCCATCTGATACTGCTTTATCTAATGACTCCAAAGTCTTCACAGGGCAATCTAAGACTGTCTAGCCACTTTCCTCTAGGTGTGGATAGAGTGGAATTTGCCCTAGGAAATTTAAACCACAATGGTGACATCAACAACAGCAAGTAGAAAGATAACAAGCAAGGAAATAGCCTGACATATTTATCCTCAGACTTTTTGATTTTTTCTTAAAATGTCTGTAGTTGCTAATTTCTCGGTACTAATTATTATGGTAGTACATCTGTGTAGTTCATATGGAGAGTAAATTACTTCAGACTAGTACTTCTCCAAGTGGGGACTGAAGGCCCCTGGAGGTACTGAGAGGCTTTCAGGTAGCCTGTAAGGCCAGAACTATTTTCTACTAATTTATCTTCTTTTCCTTTCTCATTTTCATTCTCTCATGTATGTACAGTGGAGTTTTCTAGAGTCCCATTATGCATAATTTCATAACAGTGAATTCAACAGCTAATCTATTATCTTCTATTAAATCAGACATTAAAGAGATTGGCAAAGACATAAAACAATGCCACTCTTCAAATTGATTTTGTATTTTTCATTAAAAATGTTATTTATATTATCATGAAATGGGTTTCCTTTTGAGACTTTTAGGTAAACTAACAAATTTGAAAAAATCTTCAGTTGCAATTTCTAATATGGTAAATAATGACCAATATAATCCAATGTAAAAAAATAAAAAAGCTCCCCCAAACTCTTTGTGACCTCATAAACTTTTAAAAGTACATAGGCATCCTGAGATGAGAAAGTTGAAAGTTTGGAAGTGTTCTTTAGTTGCTTATATTGGCTTTCCTCTGTTCCTCTCTATTTCCCTCCCTTTCCTGCTAATGAGGCTACACCCTATGCGTATTCTCTGACACAACAGCTCTATGTGCCTAACTGTCACTTAGTCCTAGCCTCTATTAATTTGTAATCTCAATGTTATATAAGAAACAATTTCCTCCTTAGAGCTGAATTGCTATTAATGGTACCGAATAAACTTAGATTCAAACTGTACTTTTAGTTGCAAAAATAACTTCCTATTCTTAGTAAAATTAGGTCAATGTATGTGGGTTATCTGTAAATACTGTAATACTTCCTATAACTCCATTCTTTCCTATGGCCCAATACCCAACAAGAAAAAGTACTTTTAGGAGTTGGTCAACTTGCTGTGTTGAGAAAGCACTATGAAGATTCTGAGGAGTCTTACTGATAGGAAGGGAGTTCTTCAACACCCCATATCTACACTGCAAGGTCATACCCAGGTTAGGGCAAGACAGTCTGCTCACCTGGCAAAAAAAGACAGTCTGCTCACTTGGCACTGCCTAGGCTTACACTGCAAATGTCATATTAGTGCCAAATACAGCAACAAATGCCAAGCAGTCTTGGGGAAACTATGCCTATAAGAACCATTAGCTTTTGTGTGAAGACACAGGTGAGAAGAAGTAGAGAGGTCTTCTCTGACAATATAGCTAAGCCTCAACTTATTCTCTCTTCCTAGGAACCAGTTGCCATCTGAAATCTTCCTGCTTGTCTAGTGCTTGTTTCTCATGTCCTCCCAAGAACATGAGAGTCTTGAGCACAGGCCTTATGTGACTTCTGCATCCCACTGGCATGCAGGAGTTAAGACACTAGGTCTGGAGGCTATGCTGGAGGAACAGTAGTCTTCTCCAAGCCCCACCTGTCAGTACTACACAGCAAAGACACATGGGGCTTCAGTAATACTGTTATACATTGCAAGCGCCCTTCAGTGCTTCTGTTTGAGAACTTTTTATGAGTCCTGATTTCTCCTTTAAGAAACTCATAGCTCTAATATATTTTATTACACCTAATCTCACTTGTTTATTTAATTCACCTACTATCAGATCCTATGCTAGCTACAGATACAATTTAAATAAAATTAAGAAGAAAGAATGCATTCCAGAAGGTAGCATATCTCCTTTTTGTTATATTTATCAAACAAAAGACAAGCGTGAATGCCTCAGATACTGAGATGCAGGGTAGACATGATCAAATAGCTCAAGAGATCATTATCAAGTTGGTAGGAGCCATTGAAACCTTGAGGCCCTAATGAGATTAGATTAACAGAGATTAACCTATGTCCTTTAGCTGCTGGGACAATGAAATGGGGTCAATTTTGGAGACAATCTGGTTGTGACCCAACAATGCAACTCTGCCTGCCCCAAAGCTCTGAGAACTCATATAGAGACTTGTATGTGGATGTTCATAGGAGGATTATTTATGAAAGGTGGAATAACCCAAATGTAAATCAAAGAATGAATGGAAAAACAAGTCTGATGTATCAATACAATGAAATATTATGCATCCATAAAAAGGTCAATAAATATATATCAAGGTCATTGTACTGTCATATGTAACTAATTAAAACAAATAAAAAATACAAAAAAGAAAGAAAGAAAAAAGGTCAATACATGTTATATAAATAGTGAAAGTTGAAAATATTCTGCTAATGTGAATAGACGTATAAGGTTGTACATTGGATGGTTCCACTTATATGAAATGTCCAGAATAGGCAAATTCTTTTTGGCACTTCAAAGGAATAAACCCAAGGCCTTGCAAATGCTCAGATAGCATTCTACCACTGAACTACATCCCCAGCCTAATGGTATTTTTTAAACAATAGCTTAATCATTTAAATATAATTTAAATACCACATAATTTATTATTTTAAAGTACACAAAACATTGGTTTTTATTACATTCACAAAGTTGGGCAACCATTACCATTACCTATTTCCAGAACACTTTAATCATTCTCAAAAGAAATGTCATACCCATTAGCAGTAACTTCCCATTCTCCCAGGCCCTGGCAATCATTACTCTATTGTCCATCTGCATGAGAACAGGTTTTGAATATGAATAATAAGACATTATTTCACCTTGAGTTTCCATGAATATCTATATAAAGATGTGATCAGCTTTCAGAATAGGCTGTTCTAATGGATGTGAATTTATTTAAATCTTCTACTTGCCATAGTGAAACCATTATTCTGCATAATTAATATGCACCAATTAAAAAAGCAAAGCTTTTTAAAGTGCATATTAAATCAGTACTTCTGCTAATAGAAAGGACAAAAAGACAAATCTTCTACAAGATGACACATGAATTGCAAAAGGTTAAGATATACAACTCTAAGTAGTATTTCAGTAATAATGCTGGAACGCCTGGCATAGTGGTATATCCAGCAATTTCAAGTTTGAGATTAGTCTGAGCAAATTAGTGACACCCTGTGTCAAAAAAATAAAGAGATGGGGGTGAGCTTGGTGATAGAGCAATCCTCAATCCAGTCCCTAGTACCACAGAGAACCAAAACAAAAGGCAAAAAGCAAAACAACTCCCCCCCCCCAAAAAACCCCTGGTATTATGATGAAAGTGACAGCTACCAGGTATATTTACTAAGAACACACTATTGGCTGGTCCCTCACCTAAGCACCTGCAGAGTCTAGAGAGGAGCCTTCTTACCTCCTGGGGGGAAATGTACTTTCCTCAAGAGGGAACAGCTAACAAAGGCATCAAGATCAGTGTTTTGATTCCAGAATATCTTATAGATGTGGGGACAGGTAAGGGTCCAGCAGCCATTTCTTTCTTCTTTTTAAAAAGAAGATTAAAAAAAAAAATAGGGGCTGGGAATGTGGCTCAAGCAGTAGCGCGCTTGCCTGGCATGCGTGCGGCCCGGGTTCGATCCTTAACACCACATACAAGCAAAGATGTTGTGTCCGCCGAAAACTAAAAATAAATATTAAAAAATTCTCTCTCTAAAAAAAAAATAGTGGAATACATTTGTACATGTACATAAAATAATTTGGTCAGTTTAATTCCCCATACCTTTATTTTCCTCCCTACCTCTCACCCCTGGTCCCCTTCCTATACTCAACTGGTCTCCCTTCTATTTTCATGAGATCCTCCCCCCTTCCCCTTTCCTTCTTCCTCTCTAGCTTGTACATATGAGAGAAAACATACAACCCTTAACTTTCTGAGTCTGGCTTATTTCACTTAAATAATGCTCTCTAGTTTCATCCATTTTCCTGAAAATGACATAATTCATTCGTCTTTATGTCTAG